TTAATCGGTGGTCCATTGTGAACCAAGTTAGTAGTAATATATTTCGAAATGGTAGGGGCAACGTTGGGCGGTATATTAGGTGTTATAAGATATGATTTACTGAAATAGTTAATAAGAGCTGTAATAATTTCAATAATTGGCAATTCAGATTTAGATTGGTCATTATCGTTATCAGATGTTTTATATGCAGAACCATTAGAAAGAGAAGAAACCATGTTCATATTATATTCATTAGCATACTGTGCATGAGCGACTTGGTCATAACCACCAGATTGTCTTGGAGGAGAACGGGGCTTTAGGAAAACTGTTCTTTTGTAAGAATTATTAGAGGGTGAAGAAGAAACCTTTGCAGGTATCGGTGAATTGATTAGTGTAGACTGTTGTTTGAGTACATCTGCATAAGATTTGGTTACTGGTGGATATGATTTACAGGCTTCAAAGTATGATACACAATTTTGAGCCATGTGAGTCTTTATTTGTTTTTGCCTAGAAAACTCTGGGCAGGCCTTACTACTTGCAAAATGGTAACCTAAGCATAAACAACAAGAACCACCATCCTCCTCAACTGTGCATGTATCACCCGTATGATTATTTCCACATTTGTAACAGCATGGTCTAGATCTACAATATAATTTAGTATGTCCAAATCTACAAGATTGAAGACACTGTACTGTGGGATATGTATATAAATCTACAGTTAGTGCTGTATACAGCACTAACTGTAGATTAGTGAAAAGAAAAAAGTGTACATGTGCTATAGCACATGTACACTTTTTTTGGTAGAGTCTGTCCATCAAAACTCAAAACAAGTATTAGTAAATTCAGCATTCCCGTTTTCGATTTTTTTACGTCTGATATGCCTTACTTTAATTATTTTTGCACATCCTATAGGCACAGAAACATTGTCCAATATTTCCTCCTCTGACCAACTAGCAGGGACCCCTCGTATAATGCCCATTCTTGTTACAGTTAAATGTTGGAATAAAAGCTTTTAATTTATGAGTTTCTAATCAAGGATTATCAATAAAATTGTTAGCATCATCGAAACGAGTAAATGCTAGAGCAAGTCTGTTTCGTCCAATACGTTTTAAACTTCCATTCACTATATTTTTAACTGAATTTTTTTAAAGAATGTTCCCAAATTGCACTGAATGTAAAGAAGCACGTTCTTCGGGAGCATACTGTCTCACTACGTGAATCACATAAGGACTAATGTCAGTGTGCTCATATTTTCTTATATTCAGATACCGAGGCTGAGTGGGAGGAATTTGAGTAGGTTTGTTAGAAACAGTGACGTTTGTTAACTTATCCTGAGAAAAAGATGAAACAAATTCCGTATACTTAATATTCGCATTATTTTCTGCAATATCATCACGAGAGCTTTCGACAAAATTACTGTTAGTATCTTTCCTTTTTTTCTCAGAATGTCTACGGGTGTTTTAATGCGTTTCCTATTTTTGCGTCCATCTTCACTACGGGAACCCTCTTCCGTATCTACTGCACTAGCTTCAAGCGAGAATATTTCTATATTTAGGCCCACTGAAGGCACTGTTCCTCTAGGATCATCGGGGGGCTCGTCGCCCATGTTAAAAAATGAAAAACTTAAACTTACCCGAAGCGGAAAATATATACACTACAAATATTTACAGGTACTAAATTAAAGATTATAATATAATCTTGTAATACCTATGTATTTTATATATATATGTATAATGTATATTATACAATAAATACAAACAGAGCTCTCCTAATCCCGCAAAAACAATAAAAACCACTAAAACCAGGAAAAATGCACCCGCCATGCCAGTTTCGGAAGTTTCCCGCGTTTTTTTCTTAACTCGAGTTAGGTTAGTAGTCACGCCAACTCGAGTAACTATGGATGCGTTCAATGTTTCGATGATTAATGTTCTATTGTTTTACCTAAACTTCGTTTCAATCCATTTTGAACAAAAAGTAGACAAACAAGTCACTGACCTGACCATAGACGATTTAGCGATGGCCAATTGTAACGCCAACTACAAATCAATTAATTAATTGAATGAATCGATTTGTTATACTAGCATACTAGCAGTGTCATACTAGCGGTTATCCTTACCATGGGGTATTAATCCATACAAATTAACTGCAGTTCTTATTTAAAATTATAGATGGCGACACTTGGACAAAATAAAAAATATTAAGTATTTAATCTCCAAAATTTGAGATAAGTATTTCGTATTAAATAAGAAGTATAAAATATAAAAACGAAATGTAAAACTATTTAAACAACATATTAGGAGCGATCAATTAAAATTTATTTGCAATTTTGAAAATTGGTGAAAACAAAGAAGATTGTTGAGAAGCTCGGAGGTTTTTCAATAGATTACTTTGACGTGATAGTTTGCCATAAATTGTATAGAAGGCATTTTTTTGAATTTATTCAAGAAATTCCTATCACTGTGGATGCTACGACGGTGCGATTTATTCAAACGTATGGCCTCGCCACAAGTGCAATAACTTTAACAAAAAATATAACAGGTGCCACCTGTTGGCATTCTCAAATCTTATTACAATCGCATCGTGGGTTTCTATTGATCACCGATCAGAATCAAAATAAGCGTCCGAATAAGCGGAGTTATGAGTGCGAGTTTTTCTTGTATGAGATTTATATTGGTACTAGTATACAATAGTATTGTATTATCTGTGTCCTTACATAACCTATATAAGCATATTTAAAATTTCAATTTAAATCCTCCTTCAAATCCTTACACTTAGATACTCGTTCGATTGCGATTGAAATGTTCAATTTAATAATCGATTACTAAACTTTAATTGATTGAACCGAATGTTTTTTTTTTGAACAGCACTATGCAACCATAGGCAAATCATAGAAGTATAGAGGAATAATAATAAAAAAAGATTTTACGATGCTATTCAAATGAATATTGTTGGAAGAAGTGATGATATATCAAGTCGAAATATATGTGAAAGTGTTACTTATTATTATACGATTTATTGTGTGATTGCTTTAGAATTTTAACCAAGTAGGTTATTTACTTTTTGTTCAAAATGGATTGGAACAGACTATACTACAGAAATAAGCCGAAAAATTAACACAAAGAGGTCAATACCTATAAAGTAACTGCCTCGGTGGCTTTACGGTTACCATACCGGACTGCCATATAGAGGTTCCAGGTTCAATTCCCGGGCCGAGAGAAATATTTGTATGGCCTACATTTGTTTCTCTCGTGAGCTTGGGTGTAATTTGTAGTTGTCTATGTGTGTGTCCATGGCACCCGCGATACAGTGTATCCCCCTAGTGCGGGGCTATGTTGAGTGTGTGTGTGTGTGTGTGTGTGTGTGTGAGTGTGTGTGTGTGTGTGTGTGTGTGTGTGTGTGTGTGTGTGTGTGTG